TCCCCTTGCTCACCAGCACCTGCACGTCGTGCTCGAAGGCGCTGAGCGCCCGCTGCAGGGCCCCGGCCGAGCTCGGGGACTCACGAGCCGTCACCTCGGGCAGCCGCTGCTTCTTCTCCTGGATCTGGGCCAGCACCTCCTGGCAGTCGCTGAAGAACTTGTGCAGCTCGTGCGAGGCCGCCAGCATCTGGGCCCGTGTCTCCATCAGCTCACCAGCACCTGCACGTCGTGCTCGAAGGCGCTGAGCGCCCGCTGCAGGGCCCCGGCCGAGCTCGGGGACTCACGAGCCGTCACCTCGGGCAGCCGCTGCTTCTTCTCCTGGATCTGGGCCAGCACCTCCTGGCAGTCGCTGAAGAACTTGTGCAGCTCGTGCGAGGCCGCCAGCATCTGGGCCCGTGTCTCCATCAGCTCCAGCAGGTCGGCCCAGGCCTCGGCCGCGTCCACGTGCCCGTAGTCGATCAGCTCGTCCACCATCTGGTTCACGGCCGAGAGACGCTCCTTCCCCTGGCTGCCCGTCTCGCTGGCAAACTCCGTGAACTTCTCCTGCAGGAGCTGGGCGAGGGGGCGAAGGGGCGTGAGCCCGGCGTGGCACGGGGACCGTGGCCTGGGGCAAGGCACGGGGCCTGCACGCGGCACGGGGACAGCAGCACGGCACGGGGTCAACAGCCTGGCACAGAGTGTCACACAGGGATGGCAGCATGGCACAGCGCACAGCATGGGGACAACGGCACAGCACAGAGCGTGGCATGGCACAGGAATGACACAGCACAGAGCGTGGCAAGGCATGGGGACAACAGCACAGCCCAGTGTGAGACACAGGACACAGCACGGGGACAGAGGCATAGCACAGAAGCGCAGCACAGAGCATGGCATGAAGACAGAGACATGGCACAGAGCATGACATGGCACAGAAGCGCAGTACAGAGCATGACATGAAGACAGTGGTGTGGCATGTCGCGTGGCACGGGGACAGAGGTGTGGCAAAGAGCATGGCATGGGACAGAAGCATGGCACGGAGACAGAGGTGTGGCATGTTGCATGGCATGAAGACAGAGACGTGGCACAGACCGTGGCATGGCACAGAAGTGCGGCACAGAGCGGGAGACAGAGCCATGGCACAGAGCGTGGCACGAAGACAAAGGCGTGGAACAGAGCGTGGCACGGAGACAGAGACGTGGCACAGAGCGTGGCACGGAGACAGACGTGGCACAGAGCGTGGCATGAAGACAGAGACGTGGCACAGAGCGTGGCATGTTGCACATGTCCCAGGGACAGCGGCGTGGCACGGCACACGGCTGAACGTGGCTGCAGCCGAGGCACGTGGCCCAGGTGCACGGGGGAGGAGGACGGGGGCATCGCCCTCACCGTGACGTGCTCGAAGTCCTGGCCCAGCTCCGGCGACCCGGCCACCACCTCCTTCTCGGCGATCCAGTGCTCCAGGTCGTCCACCTCGCGGCTGAGCTGGTAGAGCCAGTACTGCTGCTCCAGCCGGGGCCTG